AGAGAGGGAAGGGAAAAAGGGACTGCTAGGTCAGGATAATCTGGTCCAATGGGAGTATAAAATTAAGGTATATATATAAAATCCTACTACCCAACTTTTTGGTACATAAAAATAATTGAGTTCACACCATGTCGGCCCTTGACATGAGACGAAATCGAATAAGAATTTTACACCTCAGCAGGTATGATTTAGGGTGTGATTCGGAGTGTGTCTATAGGCTTATTCTATATTTTCCTCGGCTTCTATTCTGTTTCTACTATCCTACCTACCAAACATAGCATACAAGACTTGCTTGGAGAGCAGCAGTTGCCAAAAATGTCATTTCCAAATGTTTCATCTGATCATCAGTATTCAATCCTCTACCTAACAAACTTCAAAAAAATCTGGCTCACAAGTCACAACAATGCAAATTACTAAATAATAAAGTGACCTAAACTCAAATATTTGTGATGAAGAAGATCAAAATTTCTCAACCCTGCCTGGAAATTAATTTGTTCAGTGAAGCAAAATTTAAAAATACTCTCATCCTAGCTAGCTAGAACCACAACAAAATAGTTATACTAAGAAGCCTCATAATAATCACTTTTCACATACCAATTTGAGACTGCACTGAACTTCCTTAGGAGCCTCGAAAAAGGTTTCTACTTTCAAACCCTCTTGAAATTAAGGCAGTTAAGCTTCGGAGTTACAAAATCGGAAGTTGGTCCGATTCAATTCAAAATAAAAGAAGAGAAAAGGCCACGAACAAAGTTCAATGAAAGACAATACAGGAATTTAGTGAACCTTCTCATTTCCAAGAAAAGAAAATAAAAAACCAAATCATCATATACCCAATTCTCAAGACAGTCATCGGCTTACCTGATGGAAATGGCTTTCTTCATGTTAACGAGTTCCAGATCAATACCGGACCAGTTTCTAAAGTGCTTAACTGCTCTAGTTGCATTTGCCAGTTCCTTCGGAAGTTTTCTAATGACCTTTACATCATTAGCCAAGGAACTAATAAAATGATCTTGATCGAATACATCAGAAAAACTGCTGCAGTTTGAACATGTAATATTAACAATAGCATCGAGCAAGCATATTTTAGACACAAATGCAAAATATAAATCTGAAAAATGGTGCCTAGTGTCCTGCCAAAATGACTGCTTATCAAGTTCTGGAATTACAAGAGTAGCATTTATAATTCGGGCAACAGCAACCATGTCACATATCTGCAAGTTGAGAAAAATGCAGTTCTTCAGCTTCATGTAATAGACGTATCAATAGTCAACAGTATTATGATAGTGATGAAATGTATACGGATGACTTGGCAGCTTCACTTATGCATCACTCTTGTGTCATATAATGTAATTATGGAAAACAACAGCAGTACAATTAGTTATTTATAAATTGCCATGATATATGATGAACAACTGATAGAATGAGGTACAGTGCCAAAATAACAAGTAAAATTAACGCATTGCATGCATATCTGCCAAATAAAACTCATTCACTGCGCATCAAAATAGTCAACTTAATTAGATGTCATGATTACCATAAATACGCTTTGGCAAATTTGGTGTGGAACAGTCCAAAACCATCCGAAACCATGTGAGTCTAATTTGATTGACTACTAAGCAATAGTGGGATTAGAGTGGTCACTCACAAAAAATTATGCATGTTTGGTTTGAGTAAAAATTTCCACCCCTAAAGCTCCAGAGTTTGTTAAATAGCATACTGAACATTCATCGAAGCTCTATGAATGTGCAAAATGAAGTCATTGATGCAATTAGATATCTTATTGTTCACATGAAAGAAGGATGCTCAATTCCAATGATTATAGAATACTTTGAGGGACTATTTCCCACTCAACTATGGGAAAAGGAAGCAAATCTCGATTACACCCAATTCACAAACCAACTATCACAAAACCGTTACAATATTATTTTATTGAAGTTTAGTACAGAGCACCCTCAATTACTTACTTCCAATCTTTTCCACAAGGAAGTCATGCATAAAGGTATATTTTTGTATCTTGAATACAATTAAAAATTTCAGCAGTAACTCATGAATTTTTTTTATTCCTCCATTTAATAGTTGAGAAGGAAATTGTTCCATTATGTAATTATTTTGTGTCACCAAATTTTAAAAATTCTTCCATTTAAAAGAAAAACCAGTAATAACGCCTTTGAATATGAACTACATAAAAGCTTTTTCACCATGATCATAATCTGGAGACTGGTAGGTATTGGCAAAGCATAATGACTTTCAAACCTTAAAATCTCATAACAGGTTATGGCTGGAGTGGCTATTATGCTGTTTCAGGTTTACCAATTATCACCCAACTTATCAACAATCCAGCACAGAATAAAAGAAAATTTAAAAAAATAAAAAAAAAAAAAAAAATCAATTTTTATTCGAGCACACGTTTATCAACTTGTTTAAGCTGTGAGTTCCTAAATAGCTCCTTACACAGTTTGAACTTTGGGCACATACATGTCTACGCGTGTGTGCATATGTTTACTGCAGGTGGAGGCTAAGAGGGTTCTTATATATATATATATATAGAGAGAGAGAGAGAGAGAGGATGCAGACCCCAGCTCGCATCTGATTTAATCCACCATTTGTATGAACAAGAAGGTAACCTTGAGACCCTCCAGAAGCTGATGAAACAACAATGAATGAATGAACAAATGAACAGACAATAACAACTACAGATGAGTTTCATAAGTGCAAACTTAAACCAAAACTACAACTTCCTTACTTGTGTAGTTTGAACTTGGCTCAACATAGGGCACATAATCTCGATTTGGTGGCAGCTTCCATAGCTTGTCGAAATCCAAAATCCCACTTGCAACATCCAACTGTCAAGTCTAAAGGAGTGAAAACATGAAAGATGAATGACTATTTTGTATCAATATGCATACACCTTTATACTATTATAGTACATACATAATATGATATAGATGCCATCAAAACACACATATACCATAACTAAAATAGCATTTTTCTTGATGAAAACCTTTCGGCAGGACTAGAAACTTAAGAATCAAATTGTTTGAATAGGTTAAAATGAACACAAAACTAATGAAATCACACCAAGAGAAGCATAACACCTTGCTAGGAGATAGAGGAGCTCTTGGCAAATGGGGAGGCACCAATTCTACAATCCAGCTTTGCTCTCCTCCCACTATTTCGATTTCTTGTTGCTGCAAAAAATTGAATTATAAACACAACTAATTCCAATTTTTTTTTTTTTTAAAGATTCTATCAAAGCAACACTTATACAGCCAATATACAACACAACTGCTTCTCAAATCTAAACGAAATCGCTTGTCACTTCAGCAGCATATTGTGCCTTACGTTGAAAACCCCTCCCATTTCTTATGCATCTTCTAACCTCTAACTTCATATTTTAGACGTTCAAAATTGAATGTTTAATTTTGAACTTCTAATCAGCAGCATTTACAAGTTAAACCTGAGATCATCAGCTAAACAGTTTGGGCAAATGCAGTGTCCCCTTAGATTTATAATACAAAATTAACACTTTTAAATCAATTCAAGGTTAAAAGGGCAGTTAGGATTACCAGGAGAGCGAAAAGTAGAACAACCAATCCGAACAAATAGTATGCTTAATCTGCAATTAAAATTTGACAAAATTTAGAGCCCTAGCAACAACTTCATGCACATGAACTGTAATACTAATCAATTGAAGGTTTTTCACTTTGACATTTTATCAAACACTTGGTGAATATACTATATAACCCAATTTCAACATAACCCATTTCCCTGAACCACCCATCAATGAAAATCTCTTATTTAGCATATCAAATTCTCATTAAAAAAAATTAACATCAATCAATTAAACCCTAAAAGAACAAAAAAAAGTTGACATAAAGACAGAGCGAGAGAGATCAGAAATAGATGGAGAGAGAGAGAGAGAGAGAGAGAGAGAGAGACGTGCACACACATACCAGAAACACACATACCAGAAAGACAGAGCAAGAGAGATCAGAAATAGAAGCCCATGACTTATCAGGAGCCGCATTGTCTACAGTTGAAACCACATTCAACTCAGGATTCAGGGCCAGAGGATTTTGGCCTCTGCCTCCCCTTCCTCCACGACCACCTGACCCAGATCGACCTCTAATAGGTGTGTAAACCTTCGAATCAGCCATACCACCACCAACTCCATACAATTAAGTTGTTAGGGTAGAAGCTGTTAGAGTATAACAGAGAAGATTTAGGGCAGAAGCTGTTAGGGTTGAAGTTTCCTCTTGGATAAGATCACATGGGATCAGATCCTCCCGATCCACACCAGACATGGAAGCCTTCATACGATTAAGCTCCTCTCTTAACTCCTCAAAGGGCTTCGACTGAGTAACTCGCCGAAACGGATCCCCCTGTGCAACCTCCACCGAAGCTAACCCCAACGATGCAACCCCTTTCTCTTTTTCATTCATCGCCATAATATCACTCGTCAACCCTTCCATAGATTCCACAAAGGAAGAAGGGTTCAAATCGGCCTCACATACACAAAGGCTACTCACTGGTTCTAAATTTTTTTAATTTTTTTTTTCT